TAGAGGGGTTGATCCTTTTGAAACTTCTGAAGCTTGTCCAATAGAAGCTTGGGTCGTAGATGTAGTTACTGCTTCATCCTGATTGGGTTGTGATGAAGGCTTCGAAGTATCTGCTGGTGTTGGAGTTGTGCTTTTGGACAGAGGGGTTGATCCTTTTGAAACTTCTGAAGCTTGTCCAATAGAAGCCTGGGTAGGAGATGTAGTTACTGCTTCAACTTGATTTGGTTGTGAAGAAGGCTTTGAAGTCTCTACTTGTGTTGGAGTTGTGCTTTGGAATGGAGGGGTTGATCCTTTTGAAATTTCTATAGATGCCTGGGTAAGAGATGTCGGTATTGCATCAACCTGGTTTGGCTGTGATAAAGGCTTATCTGCTGATGTTGGAGTTGTTGTTTGGGTTAAAGGAGTTGGTCCTTTTGAAATTTCTATAGTTTGTCCAATAGAAGGTTGGGTAGATGTAGCTAATGGAGTATCCACATTTGTAGTCACCGATTCTACTTGATTTGGTTGTGATGAAGGCTTTACAGGAGTTGTGTTTTGGGTTAGAGGAGGGGTTGGTCCCATTGAAGTTTGTCCAATATAAGCTTGGACAGACGAAGTAGCTGATGATGGAGTATTCACCGATCCAACGTGATTTGGTTGAGTGCTCGAAATGGTGGCCTGATCGACACGACCAGGAGATCGTTGTGAAGTCTGGGAAGCATCCGCTGCTGTTGGAGTTGGTCCACTGGACATCGAAGGAGCAACTCCTTCAGCAGTCCTCAAGTTGGAAGCCTGTTCAATGGCAGGTGTCACACGAGTAGCAAGTAATCCATTAGAAAACCTTACGTTCCAAGAAGTAGATCTTACTTCAGAAGTGGTAGGAGACGATTGCTGCCGAGGCATTGAATCATCCACTGGCGTTGATCTTCCGCTGTCAGATACAGAAGGAGCAGATCCCTTCGAAGTCTCTGTAGTAGACGTAGCTAATGGAGCACTTGCTGATGATGTGATCTCCTGACTAGGTTGAGGGCTCTTAATACGGGAAAGATTTGATTCTTGCGTAGTTGACTTCTCATCAACAGTAGTTTGATCTGGCGTCGAGACCTGTTCGGTGGCAGACAAGGCATGATCAAAGTTCTATCCATCCACCCAATTGAACCAGCAAGTATTACCATGTACGAAGAAGAACTCGCATCTTCTTTGGAAGTCTTCAAATTTTGTTGTGAAGACTGGGAAGCATCTGCTGGTGTTGGAGTCGTTCCACCTGAGACGTAAGTGAACTTTACATCAGTAGTAGTTTGAGCTACTCGATCGGTGGCCGGCAGTGAAGCAACTCACCAACTGAAGCTTGAGGTGTTGTTTGAGGGGGAGATGGAGTAGATTCAGGTTGGGACTGAGGTGGCGAATAAGGAACCACTTCGATCGACCGAGTTACTTGAGCTGGTAGAACGTAGCCAGTCGTGGAAGGTGGGGTTCGATGAGACGTAAAAGGCAGAAGGTGAAGAGTGGTGGTGTTTTCTTCTCCTGCGGTGATCTGCTCCTTCAAGACTTCAACCTCGGTCAGTATCTCAACCACGTTGGTCCACGAACGCCGCTTTGAGATCGACTCCCACCACCTTCGCACGTTCTTCCTCACATCGAATAGATGGCGCCACTGTCGGGAAGTGGCGAGGTAGTGTGAGTTGGGGAGGTGGGAGAGGTCAGCGAGAGTGAACTTGTCACCGGCCAGGAACTCATTCTCGCTCAGCTGTTGGTCGTACACGTCGAGAACGCTCGCCAGCCTCCGCTCGCTCCTGGTGATCAGATCCGGGTCAGGATCCACCATGGGAGTAGCAAATGCAAGGTGGAAGACGAGTTCCCAGCTTGGAGGATGGAAGTTGTGTTCCTCCAGCTTCAGCCATTGCTCGATGGAGGCTCTCTCAAGGATGTCTCTTCCCAGGAGATGACTGTTCCCGCGGTCAGCATACTTCTCAGAGATGTAGCGGCATAATGCTCTGGATTCTGCAACACAACTGGTCAGATGAGGCTAAAGACACCTGTTAGAATCGAAGCAAAAGTTTGAAGCATAAACCTATTAGAATCGAAGTCAGATACACACCACCAGATCAAATGGTCGAGCATATATAAATACACTTCCAATGTTAAATTTTGTGTATGGATGAAATAATAAGGTAAATAAAAGTTCACCAATGATACGTGGGGTAAATTATCCTTCACCTCAATTCAATTCGAACTGAAACCGAACCAGATCAATGGTTCGACGATTCCGAACTGACCTGGAACCAAAGCCATACGGTTCAATTTTGAGTTTGGATCTTAGTAGAATAATTTATCTATTTATTTAGATTACCAATTGAAACTAATGGTTCAAACCAGAACCAACAAATTAAGAACTAGAACCAGAATTGTCTGGAGCCGATTTGGTTTCAAATTTGGTAGAACCAGAATAGATAGTTCCCAAACCAAAATCGATGATTTCAGATTCGTGGTGAGGGCTAATTTAACATAGTTCAAAGGGAACAAATGAAATTGAACCATAATAACAGTATTAAATTTGTTCCAAGTCCAAGTGTTTAATCTCTAACAAAAGAAAAAACACATTAGCTCCTTTTTTGTGTTATTTTTCCTAAAACTACTGCAATGTGGATGTAAGGTTTCTTCTAGGCAGGCATGCATAATCTGTGGTTACATGGGAGATTGAGAAAGGAGAAAATGTTGACAATCCATAAGTTGAATATAAACTACTGTGAGTTTCATGAAAGAGTGCATTACCTAGTGTGAAAGTGCTTCCATCTTCCACCACAGTGACAGGTGCTCTTGTAAAGGCCTGAAACCACATTCAAGAACTGAGGCAGATAAAGTTCCATGGAAGTGCATTGGAGCCACCAAAACTTCTGTTGGCTTGACGAATACATGTCTACAAACAACAGCTTCGTACTCCAAGCAATTTGATGTTCTCAGAGGAGCATAAAGGTTCATTTGCTTACCTGAAGGCTGAGGAATTCATAAGGCATGTGCTGGCCTTCATACATGTCGATGAGCTCGAACTTGACGTCCTTCTCGTAGAGGCATGCAAGCACCCTGGACACATCTGGTAGCATGGGCTTCCCATAGTACAGCTTCAGCATTGAGGCCCCTGGCAATGCTGCCATAGATGAGACAGAGACACGCAACTTGGAGTGGATGGAGCAATGTGTGTGTGTATATATAAATGTATTTAAGGTTCCAAACTGTCGCATGAAGCAAATCAGATGCTGCAAGAAACAGGTATAGAGCCTGAGAAAAGGCATAAATGAAACCCTAAAGAGAAAGTGAAAAGGGAAAAAGGAAAAGGAGAAAGTAAATATAAGCAATGCCGGTTGCAGGTCTGAGTGCAGGTATTAAATACCTTCTGTTCTTCCTGTTCAAACCTCAAGTACTCCATCCCTGCGTTGGAAGTTAAGAATAAGTATGCATGAAACTTTGGCAGTCTTTTCTGATTATTGTCAACTTTTTTCCCCTCTCATTGTTCACTACTATTCGAAGAAACTTGTGCTTATGCAAAGCAGGAAAAGAAAAAGGCAAAGGAAGAACTTATGGTAATTATTCTGAAGTATGGATAGAGTTTGTGTCTAAAGCATTCAGAAAGCAATAAACCTCTGGCTGGATTTGCTTAAGCTGCACTGCACCTGTGTTATTGTACAGATCATCTCTTGTAAATGACGACTGAGTTGCTGCTTGATCTTGTTTCTGCAGGGCTTTTTCAAGTTGGGGTTGCAGCAAACTACAGATCTTTTTACCCATCACCATGCATGGAAAAGAAGCAGTGAGTTGTCACCAGTGCATGCATAAATCTTTTTGTAATGACTCGTCACCAACAGGCTACTTTGCCATCATGACGACAACCAAGTGTTTACATCCCCCCATGTCAAGGGTTCTCCATAATATGCTTGACCTATTTAAGACAAGAATTGTATTCCCATAAATTCATAATTTTTCATACTATTTAACCAGTCAATTTAAGAATCTTGTTTCCAGAATAATGGTAACATATGTGTGATACATTTGGCCAAAGTTAATTTTTCCGTTAGATCAAAAGTAAATAGCTTATGCAAAAAAAGGTCATAAACACTTAATTTCTACAATAAACATAGTTTCTTGCAGAAACAACTTTTTATACAGCAACATACCAAATAAATCAGGTCTGAAAAATGTCTATTGAATTGGGACTGAATAATGAAATTAGTTACAGCATAATCAGCTAGTCGTCAATTTGGCATCTGTTATTATGGTTTCGTTTACAACTCTAACAAATGATACTAAATCGTTACTATCTTTCAAAAGATTCTTAAATTTGTGTCGATCCTTCAAACCATTAAGCAAGTGAATGTTTTATGTGGCATCTAAAAACTAATATTTTGGGCATTATGGACAATCGTTACAGTAACAATTAACAAATTCTATAAGACTGTCCCTAATTTCATAAGGTATCAACAAATTGTCCCTCAGGTAAATTATCAGAAATTCTTCTATTACTAAGGCATTATGGGTAAAATTTAGAGTAAATAATGTTGTGTAAACTTGTATCATGTATCAAGAACATGCATGCACAAATCCTTAATATATAAAATATAATATAGGTCATCCATTCGGGTAAGAATTAAAAGATGGCAATGTCCAACATTACAACTCTACAGCATGCCAACCATCACAATATAGTTTCCTATGTCATGTCATTTAACTAAAAGCGAAGCTAAAACAACTGTTTAACAAAATAAGAATTGTTGATTTCCGAATTCATGTATTTGATTCATCAATTACACGGTCCATTTGAGAACCATTTCATTTGAACATTACACTGAAATCAGTTAATCATATCAGTTAAAAAAATTTCCAAGATTTTTGTGCAAGGATTTATTCACTAAGCATTCTTAGCATACACATACTGAATCTCTCTCTTGGCCATTCCAATTTCTATGGGATATAATAAAAGAATTGCAAAGCATATCGTGATGATTTCTCCTGTACTAGCTAAATTATTTTATAAGGAAATAACAAACCACTTGTGCGGTAAACAAATCAAATTCAACAAATTCAAAGGGTAAATGTGATCATAAAAGTTGATGAATGTAATTTTAAAAGCCACAGTTGGTAATAAGGGGTAAAATATAAAAGAACTCACCATTGCCAACAAAAAAGTCATACCCACATCACAACTTCTATATTTTCTCCCAACTTTTGTTACATTCTCTTAGTTGTGACTTATGAACTCACTATATTTTCAACATACTCCAGCTACTTTTTGCTGTTTCCACTACAAATTCACTCTGAAAAGCCGGCTCTTGGTTCAGATCTGATTGTGTACTCATGGCTTCATCCACTTCCCTCGATTTTCTAACTAAGCTAAGGTATGAAGAGCCCTAAAGCAGCTTGGATTTGATCGATTCTTCACTTGTAAAAATTCTTAGAAGAACAATACAGATTGTCCAAATATCAGATCATTATACATTCCATTCTTTAGTATCTGATCCTAACCCCTCTTAAACCTAGGACAATCATGTAACCTCTAAGCTTACGGATTACATCACAGATATCAGTATTTTAAATATTTACCAATTAAAAAACAAATCTCAAGAAAATTGTCTAAATAAAATAGCTAGCCACTTGTTGATACTTCCAAATTCTCATAAAAACTCTTCTGGTGAAAACTTCTTGACATATTTTTAGCACCAAAAAACAGTGACAACTAATGGAATTAAGGAAACTAGTTATCAACAGGTAGCAGACTATATTATGCCAGTGTGACTATGAAAGAATGTTCTAGTTCATGCCTTAGTTGATAGGTTTCATGCAAGGATTGAAATATCATACCGTACTGGAGTTTCGAGATTCGCTTGGTACGGTACGATACTGTATACCAAGCGGTATATATATATATATATATATATATATATATATATATATATATATATATATACCATCCGGTAGTGGGCAGTCCATGTACCGGTCTGCTGACGAACCAATATGTACCGTCCGGTACGGATGATATTATTCAAAATTGAAGACCTTGGGTTCATGAACGCATACAAGAAAAGTATTATACTAAATGACAAATTTGGGTACAATTTTTCAGAAACCAAAATTTGCACACACTGAAACATGATAATTAAAAAAAGAAGAAATTTGGTGGAAAGAGTATCAAAAGAGCAGAATGACCTTCAATTATCACATATGCAACAGTATGAGGGATAACCATCATGGCTGCCAGCTCAACTACGTAAATCAGCAATCTGAAGCCACTGTTCCACAGCATACCCATCCTGCAACAATTGTTCTGCTACAACAAAGTGAATAGAACTAAAAATTTGTAAGAAATAAAATATCAAATTGAAAGCATAGTAGTTTTCAATTTTCATAAAGTCATGAAGTTATCACAAACATGAACAAAACCTACAACACAAAGAAGTGAAGAAGAAAAAGAAGAGACACGCTAACGAATACCTTGATGAGGCCCAACATGGAGGCAAAGGGTCAGAAGCATCGATGTCCTTGGTGAGGATAAGCCTGCAGGAATCCCAAAGAGGCACAGCAACCAGCTCCATGCACTCTGTCATGCTGAGAACAAAGCAGAGGGCTTTTGGACATAGCAAACTCTTCTTGAAACGTAGTACATATGCCAAAACAAGCATTGAGGGCCTTCTACGAGGTAATTTTAGCCAAAACATACTCTGATTGACAAACTAAATCTTAAGTTAACTATTCCTTTCATTTACAGGGAAGTTTATTTTGAACAGGCAGACTATTGGTTGCACTTGGGTGGGAAGTGCAAATCATATGTATACATTTAATTCAAATTTCCTACGTGTAGGTATAATCAATGCTCATACGATATTCACAGAAAGAAACATTGTACACTGGACCTATTATTACATACCCATTTTCAATCACCTAGGCTCAACAGTATCAAATCGCAGACTATTGTTTGTTCTCAAAACTCTGTGCCTGACAACAAAAGTTAAAAAAATTAAAACCAATTATTCAAGCATCAAGTATCATCATTATCTACAGATTAATTATCTTACCTGAGTGCAATGTGTCGTATCTAGTGCTTGAGAACTTTGAAACGAGGAACAAACAGTTGATCCCTGTTAGCAGATCGACACACCGCAAGCAAAAGTTGGTAAAAATACCAGTTAAATTTAGCATGTGATTCATCAAAAAGAGTTGAACATGTGTAAAGTTAGCAAGTCGAGAAAAATACCCCAAAAAACTGTGTCAACATAGGACTGCCCCTCTGCTGAACTACTCCAGAGTTCATCCATGCTGATGAATCTGGATAACCAATGGCCTATGGATATCAAAGGTAAAATTTTATTATCCAAGGATTATGGAGAGCTACTTATTTCTTTGTGTCTGAAATATTGCAACATACACCAGCTGATGTCTGATATGCTGGATAATGGATGATGAGTCCTATTGAAGGCATATCTGAAGGTCTCTCCACGCCCTGTTTCACATATATTAAATATTACACATGATATAAAAGCTCAATGTAAGTGAAAGTTATTTTACCCTTGTTGTGTGTTACCTGCAATAAAGTGTGCCCAGTCAAAGGAGAAGGATTTGATCCATCATTTATCTGGTCAAGTAGTTTTGAGTTGGGGTTCTTTTTAGTTTTTAAGGCCTTTTGCTCTTATAATGTCTGAACTCTCAAAATCTTTTACTGATTCATCCTTTTGGTATGAAGTTGACAAAGATAAAGGATCACGAGTCTCAAAAGCAGCTTCGTTTATGTCTTTTCCCTTTTGTATGATTTCTTCAACTTTCATGCTCAAGTCAGCTGAACATTTGTCCAAAAACTTATAAGCTTCCTCGCATTCTGATGCTCGAGCAACAAGCCTAACATACTTGGGGCACAAGTATCGATAATGCATTGAAGCTTTCATCTTTGTGGTAAGTTGGATATTCTTACCATCTTGGTCCTTCATGCTCTCATCCCATGCATCCTTTGACCATCGTCTTGAGATATACTTGCTTGGCAGGTACTTGATGTCCATAGCATCAAGAACTTTCACAGCATGGCTACATAAGTATCCATGTGTCTCAAACTTCCTGCAGGTACATGACACACTTTGCTCCAAAGGGTCCCCAATGACTTTGTACACTGTGGGTTGATCACAAATTGCAACCAAGTATTCATGAGTTGGGCCGCTCTCGTTGCGGTATGTGATGTAAGCCGATTGGAATTCCTCATACTCAGACTGGAACAACTGAAAAATATTATTGGTGTAAATTACTGCAGTTTGCATCAGCATGGGAGCCTTAATCTTAAACTTCGGCAGCTTTTCCCTAGAATTGTATTCGGACTCCAATTCCTTATACCAATTATCATTAAACACCCGTTCAAAATGCCTAAAAAACTGCACCAAGTCCATATCAGACTTGAGATAGTTTCTCAAGCTAGAGTTCAAACTCTCACTCAAATTTGAACTCCTAATTCCAGCTGAAAAGCTGTACTTTATGTATGCTCTGGCCCATTTCTCTTTCACTTCAAATATTTTTTGCAACCAACTGTTGTCATGAATGCTATACTTATCAAGCATTGCATCCCATGCATGTAGGAACTCGTTCACTTCCTCATATTGACTGATACAAGCTTTGAATTCTTTCTTAAAATCACAGTCACCTTTAAACAACTGACTAAGATTTTTACCTGCATTTTGTTTCATGTGTGAAATACAAAACTGATGGTATGTTTCTGGCATAACTAGAGAGACTGCTTTTGATATGGCATCATCCTGATCGGTGAACATGGTTTTGGGTTTCTTGCCCGACATTGCCTCAAGGAAAGTCTCAAACAACCACTGGAAAGACGCTGTAGTTTCATCATACAAAAGTGCTGCTCCAAACACGATGGTCTCTCTATGATGATTAAAACCCACAAATGATGCAAAGGGACGGAGTTCTTTGTTGCTCCGAAACTTTGTTTCAAATGAGACAACATCACCAAAATGACAATAATTAATTATCATTCTCGGATCTGTCCAAAAAACATTAGCTATCTTTTCATCTGCATCTAATTGCACTGCATAATAGAACGAAGGATTTTCCATCAACTGAGTTTGGAAGTACTTAAGTAAGCTTCCAGCTTCTCCATACTTCATGTCTCGCTGTCGTTTAGTGGAAAGGTGATTCCTGTGGTCTTGCTTGCATAAGCTGTAATCATTAGCTAAAAGAACCTCCGAGCCCTGTGCTTCCGAAATTTTCGGATTCGACCGTATCAAGTAAGAACACGAAGGGATGTGGAGAGGATGATTGTGTTCAGCTTCGAAGCTGCAGATCAGATATTTTCCATTCGTCTTGCTGAGCTTAATGGTCATGTGCGCAAGGCAACCAGTCCTGGTCTCAGGACGAGGACTCTTCGGGTGCCTTACCTTTTCCTGCCGTTTGTCGGGGCCTCGAAACCCCTCCTTAGAACAAGTGAATTTTCTAGACGTTATCTGGTCAGTCTTCCTCGATCTATTCCCGTACTCTCTTCGGATACTGAATCCAGTCTTCCATCCATACTGAGTGTAGAATTCGTGAGCGTCCTGTTCGGAGTCGAATTCCATTCCTTCTCGAGGCAGACAGCTGATAACCGAGTCCGTACAACTCTCCGTGCTTTCGTTATTTCCGAGATTATCCACCATGGAACCACAACAAATGAATTGGTCTTACCTTCCGACGCTGGAGGTGCTTCGATGGAGACGCCTTTGACAGCGTCCCAGCAGCAACAGCGACGATGGGGAGAGGCGGTGCACGGAGAAGGATTAGGGCACGGGGAGAGGAGACGGGCGGCGGCTTCGAATCGTTTGCAATTGGGGGTAGATCGAGTGGAGCGGTTCGCATCGGCAACAAATGAGCCGATGGAAATGTATAAAAGGAGGCGTTGATCGGCTGATGCATAAAATGAACAAAATAAGGAGTTATTAGAAAATTGCAGCTTTTTTATGTTGCGAGAGAAAACTCTTATTAAATGGACTCTGCACGTGCACCGCAGGTGAAGAGATACGCGTGGTGTGATAGATCGAGCGGAGCGCACCATCGACACCGCACCGCGTCGTCATCCTCGTCGCTATGTAATACCTCGCCGTCGTTTCGTTCCGTGGCGAGATCTTTGGGTAGTCCTCCATCGCCTTCGCATCGCGTCTCTTGCCCCCCTCCCCTCCCCTCCTCGCTGTTGTCGGACGCGAGGCGGTGATAGTTTCGCGAACGAAGACCACCCGTGGGGAGTTTTTTACTCGAGAATCGCGTTTGAGGGTTCAGGATGGCTACCTCGGGCAAGCGGAAGAGGAGCTGCAGCAGTGGGATTCTCAACCTATGCCAGCGCGAGGTTGGGTTCCTCTCGCCGAGAACTTTCGCCCATCGCGCTGGGGCTTCCGAGGTGCGTCCCTATTGGTTTGGTTGTGTTCAATAGTTCCATTTTGTAGGGTATTTCAATTGAAGCTTTGATCATTACTTCATCTTGGAACCCTACTCTCAATTGTTTAATCGGTTTCAGCACAACTGATCCTTTCATCATAAGGTTTTATGTGAACTTGTAGATTCATTTTTCGGGTGAGAAAACTTCTCGTAACTTTTACAAGTGGCCAGTTTATTGATCAGAGTATGGACAGCGGATAGGCTCTCTTCATTATTTATGAAGGAACTATTCTTCATTGAGGAAAATTGTGAAGGTACACTAGAACAAAGTTTACATGACAACCAAGTGACTCCAATATAGTTGAAATTTAAGCGGTGTGTTGGTCCTCTGTTTACGACAACCTTGACGTTTGAAGGCTATTGCAGTATTCTTGGCCTAATTTCTAATTAGCTTGAAGCTGATAAAGGTTGAAGTTATAGGTTTAGCTTTGTGTTTCAAACTCTTGAAATGGCAGTATACCGTTTAGAAAACAGATGACATATTAATGGAGAAAAGGGAGGATTTTGCACTAGATTTTTCTAATTAAAAATTAGACCCTGAATTTTCTCTTTGGAGAGAGAGAGAGAGAGAGAGAGAGAGAGAGAGTATTAATGTTAGTAACTTAG